TGTAGATTATTGCAGCCAGTGTCACGTGTGAGAGGTGTCCATGTTGTGTCTTCCTTCGTTGTCACTGCAGCATCGAATTCCATTTTATAAACCTTCATTCACGACCTATGTCCCCTCTTCATGGAGTGTGCTGGACATTCGTGTTATTTCCGGTTTCATTTCTTTTTAAGTTCATTTATGACCTTCTTCCATGAGAGAGAAAGAGAAAGAGAAACAGATGCCCCCAACAGGGTCTTCGTGTTGTGTCCCACCCCCAGACTTGGCCAGCTGGGATCATGGGCACACATTCCTGGCGTGTAAAGGGAAGCCTCAGGACATGAACCAGGGGCCGTGCTGTGTGACTCCAGCATTGGACTGCGGCACTACAGCTCACCTCGGTTTTCATTCCTTTTTCTTTTCTCTCTTTCTTTTTCTTTTTTTTTCCTTTTTGGTAATCACTGCTGTTCTGGCCGTTACTATTCACATGCCCTCCTAGCCTGGGACACACACTCCTCTGGGCACATACTTGGGAGCAGCCAGCTGGCTGGGTCTGAGAGTGCCCTGCTTCGCTAGCTGCTAGCACACTGCCCTCTACAGGACAGCGGGTGCCCACACAGCCTGTGGAGGCTTCTCTCTTGCCCACGTTCTCACCAGCACTTGGTATTGTCAGACTCATTTGGCCATCTGGGAGGTGTGCAGTGGTTATCACCACGTAGCCATTCCTGAGTATTTACTGAGTGTCTGCTGTTCGTGAGGCACCGGCTATGTGCTGGGTGTGCAGGGGAGAGAGGAACACAGCTTTGCCCTCATGGAGCCTGTGTTCTAACTCAGCGGTGGGTCGGAGCGGTGCTTGGCCGGGGTGGGCACGGGAGGCCTCTCGTGTCATCACGCCGCCTTCCCTGCAGGCTGGCCGATCCTCCTGGGGCTCACCGGGGTCCCTGCAGCGCTGCAGCTCATCCTCCTGCCCTTCTTTCCTGAGAGCCCCAGGTACCTGCTGATTCAGAAGAAGGATGAAGCAGCTGCCAGAAAAGGTACATGGGTCCCCAGAGGTGGGGCCTCCAGGCTCCGCTCGGTGGCTCCCGTCCTACCACCTTCTGTCCTTCGGTCCCTCTGCTCTGCCCTCCCTCAGCTCTGAAGAGGCTGCGTGGCTGGGATGACGTGGACGGTGAGATAGAGGAGATCCGGCAGGAGGACGAGGCCGAGAGGGCCCAGGGCTTCATCTCGGTGATAAAGCTGTTCAAAATGAGGTCCCTGCGCTGGCAGCTCATCTCCATCATCATCCTCATGGGTGGCCAGCAGCTGTCTGGAGTGAACGCGGTAAGGGTGCCCGGTGGGCTCTGGGCAGAAGGTGGTCTGGGCACTGGTGACCTTGGCACAGCCTGGGGACCTGGCTATCGTGGGCCACTCTGGCCCAGGGCCCCTCCCAGCCTCTGCCCTGCTTTCCAGATCTACTACTATGCAGACCAGATCTACATCAAAGCTGGCGTGAAGAGCTCTGACGTCCAGTACGTGACGGCCGGCACGGGGGCCGTCAACGTGGTGATGACATTCTGTGCCGTGAGTGTCCCGGAACGGGGGACAAAGTGAGAATGAGGTCCTGTGTGGGAAAAGAGCCAGCCCTCGGGCACCGTAGCCCAGCCTCTGAGCTCTCCTGAGAGGGCACTGGTCTCCTATGGCGATGGTCCCCTAAAGGTGGAAGCCCAGCCCCCAATCCAGAAGCTCCCACCACGTGAGGTGGCTCTCCTGCATCTTGCAGTTGAGGCTGCTGGGCTGTGCAAGGGCCCTGCTACCTGTGTCAGGAGTGAGGAAGGAGGTCCCTGCCCCGCAGCACAGAGTCCCGCCAGCGCCCCCTGCTGGACGGCTCGATGCGGGGCGGCACTGTGTGAGGTTGTGCTGCCGCTGGGAGGCCGCCTTGGGCAGTCTCTTCAGACTATCCAGATTTCTGGCTTCCAGCCCTGTAGAAATCATAAAATTTATAGCTGTAGGATTTAGGCCCCAGAGTGACAGTGACACAGCTAGTCACTCGAGACACAGTGGGGCACACACATGGGGGACACAGAGCGCCCCATAAGAAGCAGGTATGAGGGTGGGCCAGGGCTCCCCGCGACCACAGCTCCGTGCAGGGTGCGCTAGGCTCCTGAGCCTTCCCCTCCTCCGCGTCTCTCCAGCTGTTCGTGGTGGAGCTCTTAGGCAGAAGGATCCTGATCCTCCTGGGCTTCTGCATCTGCCTCACAGCCTGCTGTGTGCTGACGGCTACACTCGTGTTGCAGGTGAGGATGGGCACAGAGCCATGCCAGCCTGCCTGGGAAGGAGGCCCGCCTGGGAAGGAGGCGGTGCTTCTCTGAGACTGAGCTTCCTGAGGGTCCCAAGGTCCCCGCCCCGGCCTGCCATTGCCTCGCCTTGCCTGGTGTGGACCAACTGTTTCCTCCCCACAGAGTGCGGCCTCCTGGGTGCCTTACATCAGCATCGTCTGCGTCATCGCCTATGTCACAGGACATGCCCTTGGGCCCAGTACGTACCCAGAACGGGTTCCGTGGTTTCACTGTTGCTCTCCTGCATCCTCAGCTCCAGGAACTTTTGGCTTGAGCTCCTTAGAGAAGTTCCAGGGAGGGCTAAATACAGCCCTGAAATGGCTTCTCTCCTTCCTATTGCAGAGGGATTGAGTGGAGCATAATCGGAGTGAAAAAAGGAAGTGCAGGGGGGCAACCAGGCAGAGGGTGGCTAAGGGGGCAGGATCCCACATGGCCAACTATATGGTTTGAGTCCTTGACCGGCAGCTTGAAAAACATGCTGGGTGGTTGTGTGTGTGCATGCCTAAAATCCCAAGAGGAGAATGGAGAAGGGATTGTGGCATAGTCATTCCCCTGGGAGGTGCTTTCTCACTTGCTCGCTCTTTCTGTTTCCTGTAATTGCATGCACGGTATGGCAAATTAAAAAAAAAAAAAAATTAAGGAAAATGTAGGCTAAAACATGCAGTCAGCAGCGTGAGCCTTATAGGTGGTCCTGGCACTCGTTGGGACATCACAGGATGTTGTCTGTGGCCAGGCGTCCTTGTAAGCTGCCATTGCCTCCTCACACCGCTGCCCCTGGGCCAGCCGCCCAGAGCACCTGCATGTCAAAGGTCTTTTGTGGGCTCGCTGCCCTCCAGGAAGACACCGCCCTCCTTCTCTCCCAAGGTCCCATCCCTGCGCTGCTCATCACAGAGATCTTCCTGCAGTCCTCTCGGCCGGCCGCCTTCATGGTGGGGGGCAGCGTCCACTGGCTCTCCAACTTCACCGTGGGCTTGATCTTCCCATTCATTCAAGTGAGTGCGACCCAGGGCCCCACATTCACAAAACCCTCCACAGCAAAGCATACCCCTTGGCACACAGCCTCACCTGCCCTCTCCCTCCTAGGCTGGACTTGGCGCCTACAGCTTCATCATTTTCGCTGTGATATGTCTTCTCACCACTGTCTACATCTTCCTGATTGTCCCCGAGACCAAGGGCAAGACTTTCATGGAGATCAATCAGATTTTCACCAAGATGAACAAGGTGTCAGAAGTCTACCCAGAGAAGGAGGAACTGAAAGATATCCCACCTGCCGTTTCGGAACAGTAACTTAGGGGAAGGCAGCCAGTTTAGCAGGTCTGCGTGGGGCCTCCCCCTCTAGCCTTTTCTCCTGACTTTTACTTGTTGGTGAATTTCCAAAAATGAGACAAGCCTGGCGTGGAATGCAAGCCTCATCTCCAGCCTCCGCACCCAGTAGGGACAGTCCGAAGGGATCCATGCTGCTCTGAAAGCCAGGCTGTCTCTCTCCAGATGGCCTGTCATCAACCCCGAGACAGGCAAACAGCCGTTCCTCACCCTGGCTGGGGAAGCCATCCTGGAGCTCCTGGTAACACAGCTTTTATGGTGGCGAGATGGAAGGGATCAAATTTTTCCGGAGAAACCAACTCTTCTTTGTGCCCCCCCATGGGTCTTCTGGAAGCATTGTTTAGAGCCAAACTCATCCTCTTATCAAAGATTCTTCTCTAGAAACACCTGTCCTGGAAAGTGTGATACTGGAAATAACAACACCCAGAAGGCTGGGAAACCCCGTGGAGACACTGAGTCAGAATTATTGTCCTATATTATATTGTTAGTGGAAAATGGAATTGCTTCTATGTGCAATAAAATAAATCTGATCACTTTTCACCAAGATGTGCTCCTTTTCTGTGAGCAGGTGGGAGGCAGGAGGGGAGTTCCCTGCTTTCCCAGCAGTTTGATTGCACTGGTGTCGGCTCCTGGAGGACAGGGACCTGGGCAGATTGATTTATCTGGGATTCCCTGATGCTGAGCACAGGGCCTGGTATGAAGGAAGCATCAGAAGGTACCTGTTGAAAGAAGGGGCAAAGTGGGACCAGCAGTTAGCGTAATGGCTATGTCACTGGACTCCCATGTAGTCGACCGTGGTTCGAGTCCTGGACCTGGTGGCTTAAACTCACGCCAGGCGCGTGTGCATACGTGCCCAAGATCCCGAGAGGAGAATGGAGGAGAAGGGGGTGGGTGATTTCTTGCTTTCTGTCTTTCTGTCTCTCTGTCTTTCTGGTGAAAGACACGTGCCCAATAGCAAATAAAAACCTCTCCAAAAAAAGAAAAAAAGAAAGAAGGGGCAAAGTGAGAGAAGGGATGGGAGCAACATTGTGAGTTTTTAAACTTAAGACTAGGAAAGACTGCATATCTTCAGGTGCATAGGGAATATTGAGGGCTCCTGGAGGTGCAACTGCACACAAACGTGGCAGAGCTGGAAGCTTTTCTTGAAGACAAGAATAAAGGGGCACATGTGAGAGAGAGTATGCGTGTGTGTTGGGATAGGAGCACGTGTGTGAAGGGTTAAGTCCAGGGTCAGCCCCATAGCATTCTTTCACGAACAAGAAAGAAGGAGAGGAAGACAGGACAGAGAGACAAGCATCCCCAATGGGATCTTCATGCCACAATCCATCCCCCACCTCAGCCAGCCCCAGATAATGGGCACTCACACACCTGGTGTGTTCAAGGAGCTGTCTGGACACAAACCAAGAACCTTCCCATACAGGTTAGCCTCACACAGTGTTGTTACTGCCACACCACTGCCCAGTCCCCATTACACTCAGTGCTTTGGTTTGTTTAGGTTTTTGCCATAAGGCACATATGCTCACTGGAGAGACAGAGACAATGAGAGGAAAAGTGAGAAATCACCCCCTAAGAGGGATGGCCACATCACAATCCCTTGTCCTCCATTCTTTGGAATTTGGAGCACACCCATACACATGCCTGGAATGTTTCAAGCTGCGAGGGCCAGGACTAAAGCCGTGGTCAGCCATGTGGAAGTCTAGCACCTTAACCACTGAGCCTTGGCTATTTTTAAGTGCTTGGGATTGAGCGATAGTCTTGAGGATAAATAAACCCACAAGTCAAATACAATGAGAGGCCGCCATTCATGTACAGCAGGATTGAACGGTTACGTAAATGAATGTCACATGGTGGAGCCATCACAGTTGCAGTGGGAGACTACAGGTAAACAGGCGAGGAAGTCGAGAAGGAGCCCTGTGGGCTGAGCTCCTGCAGCTCAACACAGCTTAACACAAAAAATATTTCTAGATACGCACATATACTGGGTAGTAAAGTCAGAGGAGAGGAGAGAGGCATGGGAGTACAGGAGGAGGTGAGGACGTGGGAAAGACAAGTAGGAGTTCCCCAGCTGGAGAAGATGCAGTAGGGAGATAAAGAATGGCCATTCCAGGGCTGGCCCCATGGCCTGGTGCAGGAGCAGGATCCTATAGAGCCTACTGCGTGGTTCGTAACCCAGCCCCAGCAGCTTAGATATGCTGGGCACATGTGCATGTTCCAAATCCCTACAGGAGAGAAAAATGGAGGAGAAGGGATTGTGACCTGACCTTCCCCCCGGGGAGTGCTCTCTCTCTCTCCTGCTCTCTGTCTCTCTCAGGCAAGCATACACATCCTCAGCAAAAAAGAAAAAGGAAAAGACACAGGCATTTCAGCACAGAGAGTTCAGGGGAACTCTAAGTAGTTTGGTCTGAAAGCAAAGCCAGGAAGGTATGGCCGGTTCTCCTAGATCCCAGGGGTCCTTCTGAGCTCGGCTGAGAGGAACCTTGACCATCGAGATGACCCCACATGGTCTCCATGTTTCAGGAGTAACGCAAGTAACGTGGGGCTGAGACTCAGGTAGGTCGTCCAGTGAGTAAGAAATGATGGCCCAGCAAAGCCAGCAGTGGTCGGGACCAGATCGGAGGAAACGCTCAGCCATCAGCGTGGGGGAGCCTGGTATCCTGTCTCCACCAGCTTTCTAATAGGAGCCTTGGTGAATGGTTTAGGGAACTAGATGGGAGGTTGGGGAGAAGATTATGTAGTTTTTAGACATGTTGAGATGGAAGCACTCATGGGACATGCAAAAGATAACTAAGAGAATTTAGCCCTGTGACTCTGAACTCTGGAGAGCAAGGCTATATTTTCTGGGGAAACGACATAGTTGTTAGCACCTACTATGTGCCAGGCTCTGTTCCAGGCCCTGGGGCTACAACAGCGAATATTACCAAGCGGTGAGAGGTATAATAAAGAACAACAGATTAATGGGCCAGCTCCATGGCCTGGTGGGTAAAGCAGTCAGATCCCATGTGGCTGACTATGTGATTCGAGTCCTGAACCAGGCAGCTTGAGAAACATGCCAGGTGCATGGGCGTGCATGCCCAAAGGAGGGACAGAGAGAAGAGAACGGATTGCATGTGACCATTCCCCATGGGAGGGGGCTTTCTCCTCTCTCTGTCTCTCAGTCTCTCTCCAGAGAGTGCACAATTTTAAATGGGGGTGGGGGGAGGAACAATAGATTAGCAGAAGGGTGACAGGTGGAGGAGCTACTGCTTTTCAAGGGAAGCAGCAAATGAGAGGGAAGCCTTCATTCACCTGGTCAAGGGGACAGCAGATACAAATGCCTTGAGGTGGGGGATGTCGACCGTTCTTCAGGGAATGACAGGAGGCCAGTGGAGCTAGAGCAGAAGGAAGGTGTGAGAGAGCACGGAGGTGCTGTCTCGACACTTAGCAGGCCACCACGAGAGCCTGGATTAGGTTCTGAATGTGACTTGAACCAGAGGCTGTCCTGACCTGATTTGCAGTTTGGAGAATCCTTTCAGCTGCCAGGGAGAGAGCCTGAGAGAGCCAAAGTGGGAGCAAGGCGAGCAGATCTTTTCCAAGGGGTCGGAGAAGAGGCTGAAACCCTCCAAGTTTTTGTAGGCGTGTCCTGGGTGTGGGGACTGAAAGGGCGTGAGGCTGGGTCAGATATTCAACACCATCTAAGGGGCAGAGGGGCTGGCGAGGAAGAACGGTCTACGGGCCGTGTCATTTTCTGGGACCTGGAAGGCAGTGTCCAGCGGTTTGGTGACTCTTGACCTCAGAGAAGGCTATTTGAGGGAAGTGAGGGCAGAAGCGTAACACTGTTAGGACAAAGATTGCAACCTCCATTTAGTGTTATCGCATCCCTTCTTTTCTCATTATTCCCATTCAAGTATGTTTTATTACTTACATAACATGTATGTAACATGCATATATATCCCACCCCCAGGGGAGATGGCCATACTGCAACCCCTTCTCCTCCATTCTCCTCTCAGGATTTTGGACACACACACACATGTGCCCAGCATGAGTTTCTAGCTTTCAGGTCCAGGACTCGAACTACGGTCAGCCACATGGGAGTCTAGCACCCACTATGCCACCTGCTGTCCCCAGTGACCAGAGATTTTGGTCCTGGGTAATGGGGTGCTGCCACAACACCCAAATACCCTAAAGTATGGAAATAGCTTTATTGCCAGGCAATGGGAAGAGGTTGAAAGAATAAGGCAGAATATGTAGAAGGCCTAGGACGCCTCAGGCAGACTTAGAAGTACAGCCCTACGGGACCAGCAGATGCCGTAATGGTTAGGTCGCTGGACTCCCACATAGTCAACTGCAGTTCGCGTCCCGGACCCTGCGACTTAAATCTCACGCAGGGTGCATGTGCAGGTGTGCCCAAAATCCCAAGAGGAGAATGAAGGAGAAGTGATCGCAGCGCGGACAACCCCCCAGGGGGTGATTTCTTGCTTTCTGTTTCTCTGGCAAGTATACACGCCCTGTAACAAAAATCTCTCTCAAAAATAAAAAAAGTTAAAAAGAAAAAAAAGAAAAGAAAAGAAGTACAACCTTGCGAGCGAGGCTTCAGAGGGAACAAGGAGCACGGGAAAGGAAAGCTAACCAGTCATGGCAGACTGGGGAGACACTGGGACCTCCATTCCCTCATTCCTGGGATGTCCCTTGTGCTACTGTCTAAAGGTAAGCGAGTGTTTAGTCAGAAGCTTTGGTCACTTCACATAAACTCACAGTAATAAAAAACATGTAGCCAGCAAGTGACCTGGTGGTTAAGATGCTGGACTCCCACATGGGTGACTGCAGTTCAAGTCCCACACCCGGTGGCTTTCTCACTTTATCTCTCACGGATTGTCTCTGGTGAGTGCATGTGCCCTACAGCAAATTTAAAAATAATAATAATAATCAAAAATAAAAGTAAATAAATGCAAAATTATTTTTTTAAAGTTACTGTTTCCACATTCCTACATGGTTTTCATAACTATCCTTTGAAACGGTAGCCTGGTATTCCAATTAGCTGACCTATAATTTACCTGGCCATTCTCTACTTTTCTATGCAAATAGAGATGATTCTGAAGTACGCACCTTTGTTCAGTATTTTACTAACTGATTTAATACTATTTAGTGTAGTCAGGAATAATAAAATTGCATTTTGGGAGAAATCTTATTTATTTCACGCGAGACAGAGAGAAAGTATTCTCAACAGGGTCTTATGCCGTGATCCCCCAACTCCAGCCTTCCCTGCCTGCCTGGGTCATGGGCATACACGTGTGTGCTTGTGCCTGGCATGTACAGATTAACCCAAGAACCAGGTCCCAGTCTTCCATGAGGCTCAAACCCTGGTCTCGCCTATGGCTTCTGCATTGTGCCCTAGTATGATACTACTGCACCACCACGGCTGGGCAAAATTCCATTTCTTCACAAGTATTTCTGGCCAGCAGATGGCGTGGTGGTTAAAGCACTGGATACCACATGGTTAACTCCGTGGGTCAAGTCCTGGACCCAGCAGCTTGAAAAACGTGACAGGTATGTGCGCATGCATGCACAAAATCCTGAGAGGAGAATGGAGAAGAAGGGACTGCGGCATAGCCATTACCCTGTTGAGTGATTTCTCCCTTTGTCTTTCTCTCTGTCTCTATCTCTCTAGAGAGCGCACATACCCTATGGCAAAAAAAAAAAATCTTAATAGAAAAAGAAAAAAAGTATTTCATTAGCCTACATGAAAACAAGGAGGCATGTAGAGAAGTAACACAGCAGAAGCAGCCTAGACTCAGGACACAGTCTGACTCAGATCCCAAACTACTCTCTTCTAGAGACCTATGTCAGACAATGTTTCCCCCTCCTCGGCACAACCAGAAAGCTGCTAGTTCAGAGCTTGATGGGTGCAAAGACGAATTTCATGCTGTGTATGCTTTGCACACTGGCAACCCCCTAGGCATATCTTATCAATGCATCCAAGGAGAATTTGCTCCTGGGGAGAGTCGGCAGGGTCCAGAGGTTAAAAGGGTCATAAAGCCCGGCCAGCCCAGGGAAGAGAAGTGGGTCCCGCAGGCGGCCCGGCTCACAGCAAAGCTCACATGTGACGTGGGAGGCAGCGTGCACCTGTTCTCCCACACGAAAAAGGATGGAGAACAAAGAGGCAGGGCTCCCTCTGCCCACCCCACCCAGGGAGGGGGTAAGTGCATGTCTAAAAAACTGTCAAAGTCCCTGTTGTCTTCCCACCATTCTGGGGACCCATGGAGGAGGTGAAAGCTTTAGAAACATTTCTAAAGAGAGTATGCCCTGCCTTTCCTGGGGGGTCAGCTGCTCCAGGAGAGCACTGTGGGGAGGCGGCCGTGCCCAGACCTCACAGCCCATGCCCAGCGTGGTGGTGCTGAGCCGGGCTCTAGAGTGCTGGAGAGGCCCCCTCCCTCGACTCTGCTCCCCCCCCGCTTAAGGGCCCGTGAGTAAGGCTCTGGAGGTGCCTGAATCCTGCCCTCCCTGTCTGGCTGGGACTGCATGTGCTGGAGGAGTGGGTGGGAGTGAGGGTGCACACTCTGTGGAGTGGGGGTGGCCCAGGGCCTGGCCCTGGAAGGCAACGGTGGGATCTGCCCAGCTCTAACAACCCCCCCGCCCAGGCTCTGGCCCTGGCCAGTTCCCCTTTGAGCTGCCCTGGCCAGGAGATAGAGGCTGCCTGCAGTTCCCCAAAGCCTGCTATGGGACCAGGCATCCCCGGGCTCTGTCCCAAAGGCTCGTCTGGTGCTCCCCCATCCTAACACACTTGCCTCCATATACACACAGAGGCTCACCCCATCCCTCAGGCCTCAGCTCCGAGGGCACTGAGGGCACCGTCTCAGAGAGGCTCTCCCAGGCTCCCCCCAACCCCGTCCCCATCGGTTTCTCTTTCACTCACCTGCTTTATTGTCCTCACAGCACACTAATCACTGTTTGGAATGATCATATTTGCCTTTTTTTTTTTTCGGCCTTCCTTCACTAGTAAATAAGTCTCACAAGGGCAGTGCTTAGCCCGAAAAACCCCAAAAAACCCCCAACTCATACTTCTTCATCTCCAAGGCCTATCCAGGCTCACAGGGGAGCCTGATTTTTATATCTAAAAATCCTAACCGAAGCTTCAAAAAACCAACCCATTTTCAAGGAGGGAGGGAAGCATGCCCAGGAGCAGGCATGAAGCCTCCATGCTCCCAGAGCCCTCAGAGCCCTGGTGGAGGGGAGGGCAGGAAAGGCAGGGAGTACTGCCTCCCCTTCCCTGGGCACAGCCTGGGCTCCCCTATCCCTGCTTGTGGTCAGAGGTGGAGGGAAGTGGGGGCCCCTGACCTTGGGCCTGTCCTCCCACAGCGGCTCCAGCCTGCGCTGGTGCTGGCGACACTGAGCGCGGCCTTCGGCTCGGCCTTCCAGTATGGCTACAACATCGCCGTGGTCAACACGCCACACAAGGTGAGTGCAGGGCGGCTGGGGCATGACTGGCCATGGGGGCAGCTGCCATCTTCCCCTGTCGGGGCTGCCTCTTACTTTCAGAAACGGTCATTTTCCCCTAGTCCTTACTCCTTTGGAGACAGGGGGTGACTGGAGGTGTCCGCAGGGATGTCATCCTTCCCAGGCTTGGGACGCTGAGAGGACCTGCGTTCCCTGCTGAGGGGAATCTCTCTGGGCCTCAGTCTCACTCCCCTCACCCTGGGAAGGCCACCTTCTCAGGGTGGCAAAGAGAATGTGGTCAAGTGGGGTGGGGGGATTTCTAAAAAGAAAAGGGAAAGGTGGGAGAGAGCCTAGTTACGGGGTCCCCAAAGCCTAGACATGAGTGGGAGGGAAGGGTGGCCGGTGCTGCTGAGCCAATGAGGACTGAGAACTGACCACAGCTTTGCCCTGTGGAGACGGGTGACTTTGACAAGTTCAGCTGAGGTCAGAGCTGAAGACAAAAGCCGGACAAGAGGAGAGAGACTGGTGGAATGAAGCTGAGGTGTGGGGACAGGCAGCTTTTCGAAAGGTGTTCCCCAGAAGGGAGCTTCGTGAGGGTCTTAGACGAGGGCTCGCAGGCGGACGTCCGGTCTGTACTGTTGCGGAGGATGTCTTTCCCAGAGAGGGAATGCCAGTGACGTGGGACAGACAGGACAATTGCAGGGAGGACAGCCCTGAAGAGGCAGAGGGACACGACCAGTACCTCAGGTGGAACAGGTAAAGCTGCCATCTGTTTGGGTATGTGAGTTCTGCTGTGGTTTTAAAATCAAGTGTGGAGGGCCAGCTGGTGGCATGGTGGCTAAGGCACTGGATTCCACATGGCCAACTGCATGGCTTGAGTCTCAGACCAGTGGCTTGAAAAACATGCCAAGCATGTGTGCATACATGCCCAAAATCCAGAGAGGAGAAGGGAGGAGAAGGAACTGCAGCGTTCACCCTTTGGGGGAGTGCTTCCTCACTTTCTCTCTGTCTCTGTCTCTCAATCTGGTAAGTGCATATACCCTACAGCAAATTAAAAAAAAAAAAAAAAAAAAAAAAAAAAAAACGTTGTTGGGCTGGCGGATAGCATGGTGGTTAAGGGCACTGGACTCCCGCATGGCCGACTGTGGTTTGAGTCCCGGGCTTGGTGGCTTGCTTTCTCACTTTCTCTCTCTCTCTGTCCCTTTCTGGTCACATGTACACATGTGCCCACAATCCTGAACGGAGGGAGAGATGGAGGGGAAGGGGTTGCAACATGACCATTCCCCATGGGAGGTGCCTTCTCACTTTCCCTCTGTTTCTCTGTCTTTCTCTGTCTCTGGAGAATTGACATGTTAAAAAAAAAAAAAAAAGGAGAGAGAGAAGAAAACAATATTACTAATTTATGGCTTGTTGGCCTTTTACTGCTTGCTTTATTTATTTATTTATTTATTTGAGAGGTTTTTGCCTTAGAATGTGTGCACTCACCACAGAGAGAGAAATGGAGACAATGAGAGAGAAAATGATCTCTCAGTGGGATGGCCATACCAAAATGTCTTCTCCATTCTCCTCCCAGGATCTTGGGCGTGCACACATATGCACCTGGTGTGAATTTCAAACCACTGGGTCTGGGACTCAAACTCATCAGCCATGTGGGAGTCCAGCAAGGTAACCACTACGCCATCTGCTGGCCCCTGGCTTTTTACTGTTTTATAAGGAGATATTGGAATAGTTGCTCAGGGCACATATTAAAATACATGTATTATATATATTAATATACTTATGTACATGGATTAACATGTATACATGCATATGTTACAGTATGTATGTGTACATATTACATATATACATACTATCAATATACTTATATTGCCACCATTAATGGAACATCTTTTCTTTCTTTTTTTGGGGGAGAAGTTTTTTGCTGTAGGGCCCGTGTGCTCACCAGAAAGACAGAGAGAGAGAAAGACAGAAAGCAAGAAATCACCCCTCCTGGGAGGATGGCCATGCAGCAATCCCTTCTCCTCCATTCTCCTCTCAGGATCTTGGTCACACACGTACGTGCACCCGGCGTGAGTTTTCATCCCCCAGGTCCGGGACTCCAACTGCAGTTGACTACATGGGAGTCCAGCGACATAGCTATTATGCCATCTGCTGGTCCTGATAGAAGATCTTTTCTGAGTCAAGCAATGTACTATCACTTCATCACATTTAATGCTCACAGATTTTCTATGAGATATACTTTATTTCTATAATTGAGGAGGAAATTAAGGTTTATAGAGGTTCTATAACTTGCTCAGACTCACAAAATTAGTAAGAATATTCCCTATAGTAAGAATATTTCAGAATAAGTCTCTAAAAGTGATTCTTGGTGATTTTTTCATTTTTATATTTTTTGCTTTAATTTTGCTGTAGGGTGTGCGCACTCACCAGAAAGAGAAGACATGTGAGAAAACACATTCCATTTCCCCTCAGCATGGGAATGGTCACGCCACAATTTCTTTTCCTCCATTTCTCCCCTTGGGATTTTGGGCATGCACAAACTCACACTTGGCGTGGTTTTCATGACACCAGTCTGGGACCCCAGCCACTCAGCTGGCCACATGGGATCCAGCTGCCTTAACCACTACACCATGAGCTGGCCTTTGTGTTGTTTTTCAAGTTTATTATTTCTTCCATGAGAGAGACAGAAAGAGAGATGCATTCCCAACAGGCCTTCACATGCACGTGCACCTAGCTTGCACAGGGACGCCTTGGGACACAAACCTGGGACTTCCCCATACTATGTCAGCATCACAGAGCTTTGCGCTACTCTGTGTCACTACGGCTGATCTAAAAAGTAATGTTTACAATTATTTTTGTGCAGCCTGGTTCCTCATCTCAGCCCATCACACAGTAGATTTTTTTGTTCTCAGGCGATAGTAGAGAATCAACAGGTGCAGCTATGTCCTAAGGGTATTGGCAGAAACATCCCCCCGTGTATGACAAAGGGCCTTGAGAACACTTCAATGCCATAATTTCTCATGAGTAGTACAATATTCTTGGCTGTGGATGTGGCAATGTTTTCCAGGTCTTGAAGTCATTTTATAATGAAACCTACTTTGAGCGACACAGAACATTCATGGATGAGAAGGCCCTGCTGCTCCTGTGGTCTTGCACCGTATCCATGTTCCCTCTGGGAGGCTTGCTGGGGTCGTTGATTGTTGGCCTGCTGGTGGATAAGTGTGGCAGGTAAACGGAAGCTGTGCGGCATTCACTTAGAGCTCATGTTAGCAAACCACACCATTTCTAGGCAGTGGTGCACATGGTGGGGAGATGATGTAATCCTGAAAATCAGGGGATCTGAAATCGAGTCCTCACTTCACTATAGACATCCTGACCTCAGCGCCATTCCTGAATGTCTCTGGGATTTCTTTCCGAGGAAGTTGCATGGGAATGGCATTCCCTCCCCTCACCCACCACACCCAGGCCGCAGTCTCCGAGGTCAGAGTTCTTGACTGCTCTTGGAGGGGTGCCCTAGAAGCACGTTTAGCCGGTGTTCAATAAATGCTGGTTGATTGGACTTTGTTCAGGGGTCAGGTGACCATGGCTCCAAGTTCCAGCAGCTGCAGCCTCAACAGGTTTAGGGTCAGACTGAGTCACCCCACGAGCCATGCTGCTCCCTCATGTTTCGTTTGGAAGTGAGAGCTAGGTCTTTGTACTTTACTTGGCTCATACGATCACACTAATCTTCCTGCCTAAGCCCAGGTGCTGCAAAGGCCTGACTCTGCAGATACGGAAAGATGCACAGGTCAAGGTTCCCAGAAGGCGTAGGGTGAGGCACTGGGCATTCCATCTGGTCACGCCCACAGTTACAGTTGGACTTGATGTGCCAAGTTGGATGGTTTGTAGGAGGGAGTGGAAAGCCCTCTAACAAAAACTACCTAAAAAACCTTAGCAACTTGGACTTCATGCATAAAACAAAATATTGCTGATTGAAAATTATTTATTAATGCAGAACCTCTTATAAACATTTGATTAATAATTAATTTGCCTTACGTTGTATACTTGAGTGAAGAAAACATTCAATGTACAAGAACCTTCAAAAGGTTTATGGAAAAATTGATTTAAAGTGTGAGTTTTTTTATAGAAAGAGATTTTTGCTATAAGGAGAAATCACCCTCCAGGGGGGATGGTCACGCTGCAATCCCTTCTCCTCCATTCTCCTCTTGGGATCTTGGGCACGCACACACACATGCCTGGTTTGAGTTTTAAGCCACCATATCTAGGGAGTCCAGCGACGTAAGCATTACGCCATCTGCTGGTCCCTAAAATGTGACGCAGAGGATTTTGAAATCCACATGTTGCTTTTTCATGATATACATCTTTCGTGAACTTTTTGGAAAATCTTCATACTGTAATTATGTCATAATTCAGGCTTTTTTGCAATTCAGACTGTGCTATTCTCTGCTAGATCGAGAGTGATTGGACTTTTCTAGAAGCCCAGGCTTGGCCTCTGCTCCCTTGTCTGAACCCCACCTCCACAGAACTTCGGTGGGGGAGGAACTTGCAGACATTTCAGCACCATCCTCATCTGTGGACGCAGTCTGAGTCCGGGGCATGCAGACTGAGCTTCTCTGAGGCTCACAGGCTTCCTGACCATCCGGAAGGGTCAGGGGGTGGGGTGGGGGTGCGAGCACGGGGGATAATGTGCTGTTTGTTCTCACTGAGCCTCGGGCTGGGGGATGGCTTCACTGTCAGCACATCGGCTCTGGTGGGCCGCTCTCGGGTGTGAGTCTTCCATGCTGCTAAGCCAAGGTATCTTCTTCCTAGAAACCCCACCACGCCCTGCTGTGGCATCAGAGCCCCACCTCCTGGCTGACCCGCTCAGGGCACCTGCATCTATCAGGTCCTGGGTGGGGGCTGCGTGTGGGAAAATCCCAAGGTTGTACAATGTCCTGGGACTGCTGACAGCTTCCCCTCTAGACTTGAAGGGGTGAGGGGAGAGAGAAGCTACCAGCTCCTGGAGGCAGGGAGAGAGGTTGAGAGCCACTGGGCCAGCCAGCAGCTGCTCACAGCTACGGAGCGCTCTGGTCCACTGCAGCTGTTCTCCTTTGGCAACCCTCATGCCACACATGGGGGTAGGACGCGAGGGAGCCGTGGATAACTGCTAGCGTTGGGGCTTAGAGCACAGTCAAAAAGGCACGCGGGGCGATGCCCACGCAGTACTATTCTCCAGGCTCCTCCTCGTGGTTTCTCAGCCCTGGAAGAGATGTTAGAGACCATCTTAGTCATCTCTGCATCCCACCTGTTATGGGAAGCCCCTGTTCGACATTCTGACAATCAGTATCTGGCTTAGCCATCACCGGGGTGGCTTGAATACCACTGGAGATGGGAAGCTTTCTAACTCCTGAGGCAGCCCTTTCCCTTTTCCTACTCTGCTGTTTTTTGGTATTACCTATTAGGAAGCTCCCCTACCCTGTCCAGACCCCTGCTGACCCCAAGCCTTCCTTCCTGGAACTTCTGTCCATTCATCCTTGCTTGCCTGTTCTTGCCCATCTGCCATAGTCTGCTCAGACTACTGTAATCAAATTGTACCGGTTTATAATGACATTTATTTCTCAAAGTTCTGGAGGCTGAAGAGTCTAAAATCACGTGACTAGCTAATTCTGTTCCGAGGAAGGGCCTCGTCCTGGCTTGCACACAGCCTTAAGTAATCTGAACTTTGAAAGTCAGAAAACAAACTACAGCAAGAGTTATCTATAAATCCCACTACCCAGAGACACCATCCTGCAGCTAGGAGCGTGTCTTCACAGGGCAGAAAGAGAGAGAAATCATGCATATCTCTTCTTAGAAGGTCACTAGTCCCATCATGAGGTCTTGCCCCTCCATGACCCAATCACATCCCAAAGGCCCCACCTTCTAATACCAACACACTGGGGAATAAGGGTGTCCACACACGAGGGACATAGTTCAGTCTACAGCCCCATCTCGCAGCCCATTCTCAGGCACATCCTCAGCATTTCCGTAATGACTAGCCTGGAGGAAAGGAGTTTCTGCCACCTCTGAGTCCCCTGCTCTCCGGGCTCTGCTGTCATTGCAGGAAGGGAACTCTTCTGATCAACAACATCTTTGCCATTGTTCCTGCCATCCTGATGGGAGTCAGCAAAGTGGCCAGGGCATTCGAACTGATCATCTTTTCTCGAGTGGTGCTGGGAATCTGTGCAGGTACCTGGGGATGATGACCGAAGCCCTAGGCTAGAGCACAGGCTCACCGCTGGGGAAGGGTCTCTGAGACACACGCACTCACCACCACTGGCCAAGGCTGGAAGCAGGAGGGGACAAAGCACCAGACCAGCTCCTCCCTTTGGGGGCACCCTCCTATCTCCATTCCTGGGCCCTTGCAAAACTCATGCTTTTGAGTCTCGTCCCATTATTTGACAAAATCTTCTATCAAGGCTCTTTCATAACACGCTTTTATCTCGAAGTGCAGATAACCCATACAGTTTTGCAAGGTATCTTTCAAGAAAGATGTACAGTTAAACTGAGGATAAGGGGCTTTAAGCTGAAAGGATACAGAATTTGGGATCTCAGTCAGCAGATGAGCTAGTTTCTTAACTACATATAGTGGTTTCTGCTATTAAAAAAAAAAAAAAAAAAAAGCCAGTCTGTGCATTAACGTAAGCTTGCCTGGAATGTAAGACCGTTTTCCTACCAGCCATTTTCTTCTTCTTTTTTTGGGGAAAGGTTTTCCAGAAAGACAGAGAGAGACAAAGAGACAGAAAGCAAGAAATCACCCCCCAGGGGGGATGGCTATGCCACAATCCCTTCTCCTCCATTCTCCTCTCGGGATCTTGGGTACACATGTACAT